TTTTTTTCTTCTTATTTCATTTATATATTTTAATCTTATCTCTTATCTCTTTATGTTTTTAATTATTGAATATTCAAAAATATTTTTAAAATTATTAAATATTATCTAATATTAATTTTTAAAATTATTAAATATTTAAAAATTAACTAATATTTATTTTTATAAAATTTAATTTAAAAATCTCAACATATAAATATATTTTTAAAATCAATTTTATCATGATAAATTCAAATTATCACATTCAATCTAACAATTTAAAATTTAAGAAATTTAAATTAATTTATCCAAACAAAATATTTTAAGAATGATAAAAATTGAAAATAAAGTAATTCAAATATCAAGAAATTAAAATTTCTTAAATTTCTAAAATTTCACATCCAAACATGACAGAAAAATTACATGAATGTTCAGAATTTTTCTTTTTTTTTTCTTCAATGAATTACATAACCTATTCACGCATTTTAACTGATGAAAACTGAAACATGCTTGTCACCAATCAAATATTACAAGACAGCAGTTAACACATCATTCTACAGCTGCCATAAAATCTGGAAAAAATAAAGCATCGTATATTGTCACAAAACTTAATTATCCGAAACTGACCAAGTTATCATCATTTTATGTTATTCAGGTTACTCAAACAGGGCAAGTTTAATTCACTCGTCCAAGTCATACTGTATATACTCCTACGCTTTTTCTGTAAATGGGAATGAGTCCAGAGTATGCCAGAAAATGGGTTAAAGATTCTCAATCAGCTGCCAAAGGCTTCACCTTCTCTCGCAGGAACTGCAGTATATGCTCACGTTTCCAATTATCAATCCTGCAACAGACAAAAAGGAAAAAAGAAGATAAAAAAGATTAAAAAAGGAGTTTATTTTAATTCCTAGAGTACACAAAAGGTGTGATTTTCACAACTGCCTTTTTGAAAAGAGATGCAGCTACATTATAGTTCATGCTTGCAAAGCCACTCTGGCCATTCTAGTTTATGCTTTAGGGTCATTAGAATCCATACAGCCATAAACCATCAAAGTTCAGTAAGTTATTTCTTTTGGTAGATGATTCAAAAAATAATTCACTATATTTTTTCGATTTAATGGAAATATCAATTCCTGTACAACTATGCTAAACGCACATCCACAAGTTTAGTGCTACTCATCCTTTCCATAATGTGTATTGTTTTACCTAGACCTAGAAAACCTTGTAAATAAATGTCGCAAATGCAATGACTATTTCCAATCAACTTAAAACATGAAAAAATTCTACAATATTAATCAAAGTTAGGTCCTTTTGTCCCTCTCATAAAAACTCGCTAGAGGTATGGGGATAAAAGAAAAATTAAAGGTGAAAACAAGATGCTAGCAAGGTACTCATTTGCGGATAATAAAAGAAGTCTCACCTGATTGTTTCTTTTTGTTGACCAGCATCAGCAAGCATAATTAGCTTTGGTGGAGAGTTAAAAACATATTGAACTTTTACAGATGGAAACTGATCTTTTTCCTCTTCAATAAAGCTAACAACTTCCGGATAGAAAACAAGTTTCCTCATGCAGACTTCCAACAAAGCTCCAGAGTACGTAATCTATAGTTAAACAATTAATATTATTGTCAAATGACATAAGAAAATAAATGTAGTTACTGCATAGACAAAGCATCCTGGTTTTATGCAACTTAAAAACTCCAATATCGGGCAAGTTAGTTAAATATTAACATAGAATTGCTTAGGTAACAATTGGCTTGTTTTTATTCCCAGTTGATCTGCTTTTTGTTTCATGATTAAAAAATTGTCACCTAGTTTTCACATTGTCTCATGTTTCCCAGATGTTGTACTTGTGAAGAAAATGATGAAACATATATTTAATAATTTTCACTATTCTTTTGGAAAATATGAAATAATGTGGAAACAATGACAAAATTTTGTAAATATTTGTAAAAACATATCAAATTGTAAATGCAAACAAAAAATAAACTAAACACCTAAGAGCAAGCTTAGTTGGAAAAAAATGTTATTTGTTTTAATTTTCCATTTTAACTAGTAATTAAAGAAAAGGTTTACACTGTGATCACCTTGTTTCTTAATTCAAACATTTGTACAAGAAACCGTGGAAACCACACTATGTTGTTGTCACTATTTCCAACAACAATATTTATAAACAGAAAATAAAGTAAATAAAAGGTGACAATATTGTATATTAATGAAAAAAAAGGAATGAAAAAAAAAACATTTTTTCCACCCAAACAGGTCCTCCTTACGGACCTTACCTTTATATTTTCAACTTAGAACATCTCCAACAATAGAACTCATTGGATTATTAATGTATTTGTTTGTAGGCCCCTCAATGCCATATAAAATTTAAGAATTTTCACTATTTTTGCTGCAACAGAAGAACCTAACTTGAATTCTTAATTCACTTTATGAGAGTTCCAGTGAAGCCCACTATTTTGCATTTTTATTTAAAATTATTTTGTTAAAAGTTGAAATAAATTTTTTATCATTAAGAAATGGCTCTTAGGCCATCTCTGGTGAGAGGTTCTTATATGGTTTATTAGAATAAGAACCGGTTCTTATTTTTTTCATCATTGGAGTGTAATGTCCTGACTTTCACTTGTAGAATTGATTCTTCTATAGAAACTTACAACTAGGTTTTTATAGCATAGAAGGAAGAAAATGGGTCTATTGTGGAACTCACATAAAGTGAATTAAGAATCCAAGTTAAATTCTTTCCATTGGAACAAAAAATGTAAAAGTTCTTAAATCCTACATGACATTGAGGAACCCATAAAAAGTGTACTAAGAACCCAAAATGGATTCTACTATATAAGAACAGTTCTTACACCCAAGTCAAAATATTCCAATGGTAAAACTTGCAAGGAACGATTCTTGCATAATGCATATAAGAATCTAGATAAGGACTACTATTGGAGATAGCCTTAGGTCTTGTTTAGTTGAACTTCCCCATAATCAATTATAAAAGAAGAAAATAAGAAGTTAAATAAATCATATTGTTTTCCAAAAGTTAAAAACAACTTACGCACTTAAACTTCAGAAAACTTAAACGATGTTTTCTACAAGCTTAAGTGCATAAGTTGTTTTTAACTTGCAGGATTTTATTTTTTTTAATTTTAACCTTTGGCTTTTCTTCTTCTATAAGTACTTACGAAGAAGACCATAAACTTAAAGTCAAGCATACATAATTTTGCGAATAAGGCTAGGGTTGTTTTGCAACCTCAGAAGCAAACACGACACTACCTTTTGAAATGCTTTCTAACAAGACTAGAAGATTAATTTAAGTAATGTAATACTACAGAATCATATAATTTTCAAGCAGATTCGTGACTCATGAATTCTAAACGGCAATGACTCATGATTCAAGCAGCAATAAAAAATTGTTAAATTATTTCCGAAATCAGCATTGACGTTGAAGTCTAAGCATCGCCAAAAATGGATCGTACACATACCTTGGTAGTGGCATCATTGGAGTCTTCCGTGCAACACTTGAGACAATCGGACACCAAATCTGCAACAGAATATTGAGCTTAGTACAATTGTGTTCGCAATTGTGAGCTGTGACAGTACCCTAAGTCCAAATCTAAATGCGATCCTTCATCGAGTTACGCAGTAATATTAAAATCCATGAAGAAAATAGAAGAAAGTAAAAATGGTAGTGAAATTGATTTAACCTTTGTCCTTGACATACTCGGAGAGAGTATTGCAGTCAGAGCATAAGGCGAGTCCGGTGAAACCAAGATTCTCGCATTCTCTCGAACTCAATTGCTCCGCTGAAGCACCCAAACTCAAAGCCAAAGCCAACACCACAATCACAACCAAACCCTTCATCTCTCCCAATCCAACCAGCGAGCCGAGTCAAGGTTACGCTCTATTCTTTTACTTACCCTTCGCTATATGGGCTTCAGGCCCACAATAAATCTACAGGATGATGGACTCTTTTTTTCCCCCGCTTTAACAACCCTCGCGTTTTGTTTTTTTCCTTCCAAAAATACCTTGTCATGGTAATTTATATGGTAAAAAAAAATTATTATCAGGATCTTATTTATTTTATCCCAATACACCCCCCTCACGTCCAGCACTATTGGGCTTGGTACGTGGATAAATGGTAGGTGGCCCTTTTTAATGATCTAGGATTGGCGGGACTTGAATACACCCCCTCATGTCCATGGTGCATGTAGCAATGAATGGTAGGTGGCCCTTTTCTAATTGACGGGACTTGAAATACACCCCCTCATGCCCATGGTGCATGTATCAATGAATGGTGGGTGGCCCATTTTTAAAGTGGATCTAAATGGCTTTGATACCATCTTAGAATAGTGGATTAAGCCTAACTCAACCCTACAAAACCGGCTTGTAAGGTGAGGGTTGCTTTCCACTTATATACTATTCAATTGCCTAATCTCTAGTCGATGTGGGACTTGG